GTTGGAGGGGATTTTGCTGCCATTCGCTGTCGTCTGACTGGGAGCGGCCATTTTGAATGGCTGCTACTGTAGCGCCTCAGGATGCTTATCTGTGCTTCTGCAAAGCTGTGATCATTGTTGGTTGCTAACACGCCTTTATGCCATGTTTATAATAAATAACTAAAACTTTAGAAAAAAACTGCTATCTAGATATAATATAATATTATAGTATAAAATAAACTAAAACCTCGAATTAAAAGGACGGACCTAATTAAGACAAAGCAGCATTCATTGAAGTGATTATCTGTTTTTTTTTTTTTTATAGAGGATTCAGTTTACATCAATTTAATTGAACCATATTTTAAAAATTTTAACTTTTAGCTCTTATTATATATATAAATAATTTCATAGTAACAAAACTCTAAACTTTTAAATGCTGTAATTTCCCCAAAAATTACACATTCTTAATAAATAATAAAATACAAGTAAAAGCAGATAAAAACTTCCAAACCCTAAAAATGAAGGAAACATAAATAAATGGTTACAGTTTAATCAAATTAAACTAGAATGAAAAATCTCAAACTATAATAATAATAATAGATTTTTTCCTCATTTATGGACATTAGGTGTTTTTTTTTTCCCTCCTGCTCCAGTTTTTATTGCTGTGGGAATAAAGAAGCATTTGGTCCTCATGATCTGCAACTAAAATAGAAATCTGGACTAAAACACATTTAGATCATGATGTAATTAGATCATTCCGTCAGAACCGGTCAGCTGCGTAAAAAAGATTCGGATCATAGTGTTTGTTTTGTTTAGGAAAACACTGATGTTGCCAAACTGGGAGCTGCGTGTTGGTTGGTTGCTTAGATGTGACGGGTCGATGTGCAACCAGCCGTTTCCTGTTCAGAACCACTGAAGGCTGAAAAATGCGTCATTTTTTATTCATCCTCGCCTTCCTCCATCCTCTCTACCTAAATCTGACGGCGAGGGTCTGGAAGGAGCCCGGCCTGCCTGGGATTAGTCGGTTAACTCTGACTGGACGGAGGAGGGCCGAGTCATTCAGCCGGCCTGAGCCGATTCAACAATCCCATTCTGTTTAAATCCCAGTCAGGCCCGCCTGGACCGCAGCCTTGGCACCGACTGCCTGCCGGGTTTTATCCTGCATGCGAAGGAAAGCTGGACTACAAAGCAGGAAAAGTTGATCTTTGTGGAGAGACAGAAGCCTCTGTTTTTATCTCGGTGCTCCAAAGAGGAGGAGTTCATGTGAAATGTTTTCTTTCCCACCACGTGACCTCTGACCCGTTCCCATCTCCGAGCGTAAACCTTCCTCCTCCTCCTCTTCCTCTCTGAGCAACGTAAACAGCATGGAGATGTTGAGGGCATCTCTGCAGGGTTGTAGGGGGCTTAGTGTTACGCTAACAGGTCTGTGAAAGAAAACGCGTGTTTGCACACACAAACACACTAAGGGGGGGGGGCTTTAAGCGGCTTTGTCTGTAATGTGCTTCTGGGTCTCTGCTGCAGGTCAGCCGAGCCGGGCCCGGCCCTCGTTAACATGCTCTCCATGTCCACTAACATCAGCGTCTCACTGAAGCGAGAGGATTCAGATCAAAATGATTGGTAGCTGGAGGGGAGGGGGGTGAGGGAGGGGGGAGGAAAACTGCATGTTTATGAAGTGGGTCGAGTCAGAAGGCTGGTTCTGGAGAGGCTGCTGCAGGAACAAGGTGAGGTTTGCAAGGTGGGCGAGATAGGAGGGGGGAGGGGGGAGCAGAGGGGAGTAAAAGGGTGAGGATGGGGAGGGGGGGGCGCTAAGCGCTGGCAGAAAGCCAGGCCTCTAAGCTCTGGCAGCTCGTTAGCCTCTGTGTTACTGACCTGATAGACCACAACCCCCCCCAAACATGATCTAATGTGGATGCAGTTCCACCATCTGACCTCTAGAGGCAGCAGCAGAGCAGAGAGATGGAGCTGGATGGAGAGGAGGAACGATGCCTTCATCCTGCTTACTGTCACACATGGAAACTCCTCGTTTCCTCTCCTCGTTTCCTCTCCTTCATCCTCCTCCTTCTCTCACATTGACTTCAGGGCTCCCTTAAAAAAAACTTTATAAAAAATAAATAAATCCAACCTTTCTTCTTTATTTGCTGCTACCTTTTGACCTGAATTCAATTCATCAGTTTATGAGTCAGATATGAGCTGGAAATGAATCTGATCTCTGTAAAATTTCACCTGCACACGGAAAGGAACCTATTTCTATAAAAAATAATCTAATTAACGACGCCTATGAAGTATACGGAAGAGGATTAGGACCACTGAAAAAAAAATAAAGTTAACTGATTTTTCAATTTTATTTCAGTTTAACATCATGGCAAAAAAGTCAGAATTCTGAGATTAAAATCATAATTCTGACTTTTTTATTGTCAGAAAAAAGTCAGAATTCTGAGAAAAATTGGAAAAAAATGTTTAAAATCAGTAAACTTTTTTTTTTTTCACTGGCCCTAATCCTCTTCCGTAGAAGTAAAATGTGCCAGATGATGAGTTTTAATCAGAGTGAGTTATTGCCTCCACCTATTCTTCATTGACATCTTCTTAGTAAATCTGTTTCAGAATTCTACACCTAAAGTTAAATCAAATTCAAAAATCCTTTATCAAACCCAAAGGAAAACCAAATGTTTTTGTAACTCAAAGGCATTTTTTGTAGTAATTGTTTAAACCTGCAGGCTATAAAAATGTATGCGTACTTCAATAAATCTTTACTGGAGTTATTCTGCTACCAAAATAAGAGCAACACTCCAGAAATACTCCAGAATCCAGTGGATGAAACACAGCAGATCAGAGCAAAATAGATCATTTTGCCTTTACATGCCTTTTGTAATTTGAACATCTCTTTAAAATTGTATATTTTGCCATAATAATAATGTGAAAAACCATAATAAATAAAGTGACCAACTGTGAGGTTTTTGATACAATATTATTACGATACTATAATATAACTATATATTGCGATATTTTTCCCTGTTGTCAAAATTAAATAAATATATAAAAAGCGAGTGCTTTATTTGTTAATCAGAAGGTATTGATCATTTACTTTTTTTGGTATCCATGTTGTTTGGTTGTTTAAATCAATCAGCGTCTTCCACTGTGATCGCCTCGACTACAGATATGGCGCTGCGCCGCACAGCAAAGGGCTCCACAGCGCCATCTGCCAGAGTGGCGGTGCAGAGGTAGCCCATTTTGCCTCATTGTTTTAGGTGAAACTGTTTTTTGTTTTTAAAAAATCGATACAAGGAACTGAAAGATCGATATTATATAAGGCAGCCAAAAATCACGATATATCGCCAAAACGATTTTTTCCCACACCCTTATTTGCTACTTTATTAGCTGCTGTCAGGTTTAGCAATATTCTATGGAAGCCCGTTTCCGCCACTCAGTAAGAAAAAAAAAAAAAGTTATCTCATTATATTGAGATAGTAATTCTTTTTTTTTTTACAGAATGCTTAAAACGGGCTTCCATAATATTCAGCTTTTTAGGAGAGACGTTTAACATTTCTGTTTTCTTCTAATTCACGCTTCAGCAGCGCTTCTGCTGTCAACCTGAGCTTGTATCTGCTCTTTTTCTAGGAAACTAGTGAACTCTTTCTATTTTCTGCTTTATGCTGTAAAGTTCAGCATATTTCTACCAGTTTACACTTTCATCATGCAGCATTCACACACTTTACTCAACAAATGCTCATTATTTGTGATGTAAACATTGCTTTGAAAGTGCGCAGCTGAAACCTCTAGAAAACCATAAAGCAGAACCAGACCAACTGCTGTACCAAACGCCATGCAGGAAAAGTGAAGCGCAAATATTTTAGAGATGATGGAGATCCAGGCGGCCATATTGGCACCATGTGGGCTATTTAAAGTCTTTTTCTTAGCTTCTTTTTCCCCACTCACTGCATACAGGTGAATATTCTCAGACTTCCAGGTCATTTCCATTCCAAAAAAGTGAAAAAACAATCCACTGGACCTTGTTTCCAAATTTGAGGACGTATCGCTTCCCATCCAGGAAGCTTTTTCAATTCAAAATGTCAGAAATAGCGTTGAGTTCAAGGCTTTATAGAACGCAATGCTGTTTCTAAGCGAAACGTCTTCAAACTTGGAAACAGTCCTCTGGATTGTTTTCTAACCTATTTTGGAAACATTTACAGTATAGCTCAGCTGCAAAAAGTTAGTTACAAAAGCCTGCCCCCCCTCCCTCCACCTGTTCAAATAGAAAATGTTTCCATTAAATAGAGGAGCCAGTTTATGGATATAGACCTATTTCTGGTAGAAATGCTGAGGGGTTCATGTCGCCATCATTATCTGTTCAGAATAATCCTTCCAAACCCAGTTTGTCTCACAATGGCGGCAGACAAAGATAAACTTCAGCCGAACGGACGGGAGAAAAACATGTTTTTGTTTGGGTTGAAGGAATTGAATTATGCTCGTCGACATCATCAATCACGCTGCCTTTCATCTCCTGTTTACCTGCATCTGTTTTCTTTGTCTCGTCGGCTCATCGCTTGCCGAGCGTTTTAAGGCTTTTCCAATAAAAAAACAAAACGTCTTTTTTAATAAGCGCCCGGCGCTCTCCTGGGTGTCGTTAGCGCTAATGCTCGATAAAGCGCTGAATCCACCCGCAGCCTGCCAGCATGTCTGCCGTCAGCGCCGCCTCCCCTAACAGCCTCCTTCATAAGGCCCGTCAGCGCAGTTAGACATATTACAGTCACAATTACTCAGGCTAATTGACTTCAGGGATGTGAAATATTCCGCCGCAGAGAGGCGGCCGAGGTGACGGACGGTGATTTTATTAAAGGGGAGTGAGTCATATCCTTCCTCAGAGGGAGGCCCTGTTGTTCCTCTGATGGTTCTGTGTCTGTGGCCCGTTCTGACCCTCTTCTTCTCCGTTTCCTCCTCCAGCTACGTCCAACGGCACCATGGAGGGCATCGACAACCAGGAGGGAGGGGTGTGCAAGACCAAGTCCATGAAGATAGTCATGAAAGTGGGACAGAGTGAGTATCCTGAGATACGGCCGCAGTGCAGAAAACTCTGAATAAGGTCAGAGGAGGCGGTGCGGCGAGCTGCTCCATCGTCTCCATGACACCCGGTGGGGAGGGGGGGCAGGAAATGTAATCCAGCAAACCCTGATGCACACGAGCACAGGGTGCATCTGCTCTCACACGCCTCCCTACACGCATGCTAATCTAGTTTAGATGACTTAGAATTGATGCATCATTTTCCTGGAAGATTTACCATTGGTGTAGCTTCATCATGTGCACGCCTCTGAGGGCCGTGCATGACCCTCAGAGGGACGTGCATGACCCTCAGAGGATCGTGCATGTCCCTCAGAGGTGTCCACGCCCCCGGACTGCTCCTGAACACCAATCTTCTGATGATTGCTGCAGAGATACAGCTCATAAATCTCAATATTTGTGAGCTTAAGCTGAGATCTGGATCTGGTGGTGTTTATTTCCAATCAGTAGAGAAATGTGTTCTTAGATGAAGATTAGAAAAGTTTTCACACCCGTTGTTATTTGGCATCTTCTCTTTTGTCAAAACCATATATATATATATATTTTTAAATCCTATTTAATCAATTTAAATGGGTAAAAAAAAACGCCATTATTGCCGAATTCCACCCTGAAAAACCTTTCCCATAGCATGATGCTGCCACCACCATGTCAGCTATTGATTGGTGTTCCATTATTTTTTAAGTAAAGAACATATTTCATCAACAGTGCTAATTACACTGATGAATTAATGCGGGTTTATAATCCAGGTCGTCTGCGTGTGTCCCAGTTAACGCAGATATGCCTACATCTGCTCTACTCATCCGTATTTCCCATTTGGTACCTTAGCGGCTAGTTTTGTTTGTATGACCGCCATTATGGAAAACGACTGGTGAAGATGGAGCAGCTAGAAGAGCGAGGTGCGCGAGAACGCTAGGACACTTTTTCCACCTGAATCCCCGTTCTTTTTGGCCCTCATGCCCCTCCGTTGTTGCACAAACTCGCCCCCACTTCCTCACCTTCTTGGCCGAATCTAGACTGCTGCAGGAGGATAACCTTTAGAGAACGCATGCACGTATCGGCTGATAGCAATAGGAGAAAGAAAACGCTAATATCAGCTGATTTATCGCCCTAAATACGTCTTTATGATTGAGATGATCCGATTAGTCGCCAATTTAAGGCTTCTGGTGTCTTTTCCATTCGGCTGTTTCTGCACAAACATAAAGATGTGAGCTGAGGAGTCCTGAGTTTCCCCTGCTGATCTGTGTTTTCTGGTTCTTTCAGATCCCTCTGACCCTGTTTCACCCAAAGACAGCCCTACGAGAACACCTTACAAACCTCTCGATGACAACAGGGAGTCGAACGAAGTTCCCGACCAACCTGGTGAGGCCGTCTCTGTCAGACTCACATCCTTTGGTTATGTGCAGGATTTCTAGAAACAGTTTTTAGAGTGAGAGGCCAAAATGTGTCAGCCAATCATCAGCCGGTAATTGAATGTTACCTGTAAAAGTGAAAGGCATCTCTGGCCCTTCAAGGACTTCTAAGGTGTCTCCAGGCTGCTCCCATTTCAGCCTTAACCCGTCGTTTAGGTGACATTTCCAGGAAACCGATCTGATTGCTGCCTGCCGTCCTCCACACCCAGAACCTGCCTGTTTGAGGCCGAGCGGCTTCCTTTCGCTCGCTTCTATCTCTGCTGTTAGATCGCAGCTGAAAAAATGTCTCAGTAAGAAAATCACAAGCAGGGGAGGAACTGAGGCTGATCCACATAAACAGTCCCCTGAAAAAACAATAACTAAAAACAAAATGAAGCTGATTTTCCTGGTGCCCCTCTGGCTGATCAGCCATCTTTAAAAAACCTAACCTGTAGATTCAGATTATTTTATACCCGACAGTCAGGACTTAACTTTACATAAAGTTGTGCTCTGAAATAGAAGTAAAAGTACGGAAGAGGATTAGGGCCACTGGAAAAAAAAAGAAAATTAACTGATTTTTAAATTTTATTTCAGTTTAGTATGGGAAAAATTCTGAATTCTGAATTTTTCCTCAGAATTTTGACTTTCATCTCAGAATTCTGACTTTTTTATTGTCAGAATTCTGCGAAAATAGTCAGAATTGTGAGATGAAAGTCAGAATTCTGAGATTAAAGTCAACGTTCTGCGAAAAAAGTCAGAATTCTGAGATGAAAGTCAGAATTATGATAAAAAAAATTCAGAATTCTGCGAAAAAAGTCAGAATTCTGCGAAAAAAGTCAAAATTCTGAGCTGAAAGTCAGAATTCTGAGATTAAAGTCAAAATTCTGCGAAAAAAGTCAGAATTCTGAGAATAAAGTCAGAATTCTGCGAAAAAAGTCAGACTTACTAAACTGAAATAAAATTTTTAAATCAGTAAACTTTTTTTTTCCAGTGGCCCTAATCCTCTTCCGTATAAATAAATTAGAGTGCTTAAAGAAAAAAAAACACTTGGATTGTCTTATTTCAATTGAATATTATTTAATGATCTTCCTCTAAGAGTAAAAATAATAATTCCATTGGCAGATAATCTTATTTACCTGCTTAAATTAAGGGTAAACACACTTAATTTAAGACATTTTATTCATTTATAGATAATTTTCTCCGTGTAAAGGTAAATTATCTGAATCTCGCCTGTTCAAATCAAGGGGAAAAAAAGATTTATGTTATAATAATATAATAATAATATAAGCTGCTGCATTAATGAATCCTGATCTATTAAACCAAACATTATTGAATCTTTTGGTCTAAATCAGTCAGAAGTCTGTTTAACATGGATCCTTGGATCCGTTAGATCTGCAGCCGTTAGCTTCCTCCGGTGGTCCTTCAGTCGCTGCTGCTAGCGGAGCATATGTCCCTCAGAGAGCTGCAGGCAGCATAATCCCCCCTTCAATAAGAGAGGGGTCCTCTCTTCGGGTGTCCCTCCATCCATCCAGCCAGCGGTTAAAGCACTTTCAGTCCCGCTGGGAGGTCCGGCAGACGCAGTAATCCGGCCCGTCCCAGGCAGAGCAGCGCTCTCCTTCCCTTTAGTGTTGGATCTGAACCAGAGCCTCCATCGCTGGGAGTCAGAGCACAGCTTGCCTTCTATAATTGATGTTTCATGACCGTATCAAATATTTCTATTTTCTCCCCTCTGGGGCTGTTAGCCAGAAAATCCAGTTACTTTTTATGTCTTTCAAAATGCAATTTATCTGAGAGCCGTTTGCCAGGATGGGCTGTCAGCCTCTGATGGCTCTGCCTTCAAGGTTGAAGTCGTCTGCAGGCTGAATCTGAAGGATCAGGAACATTTTCTCTGCCAGCGGCTCTGAGGGACAAGTTTAGGGAAAGGAGAGGATGAAACGGGCTTGTTGTTCCTGATCCGACTCGGAGTTCGGATCACTTCTGTGTCGTTCTGGTTCCTGAATCTGTTCCTCCGTTCTTCCAGGGAAATCCCACACAGACGTCGGCGGAGGAGGCGGCAGCAGCGGCGGCGGGAAGTCGTCCAGCGCCATTGGCTCCGAGGTGGCCATCTTCGTGGGCATCGCCTCGGGCAGCGTCATCTTCATCGTCATCATCGTCATGCTGGTCCTGCTGCTGCTGAAGTACCGACGGCGGCACCGCAAGCACTCGCCGCAGCACACGGCCACGCTGTCGCTGAGCACGCTGGCCACGCCCAAACGGAGCGGAGGCGGCGGCAACAACAACGGCTCGGAGCCCAGCGACATCATCATCCCGCTCAGGACTGCTGACAGCGTCTTCTGCCCGCACTACGAGAAGGTGAGCGGGGACTACGGACACCCCGTCTACATCGTTCAGGAGATGCCTCCTCAGAGCCCCGCCAACATCTACTACAAGGTCTGAGGTGGAGACCTGGGGAAGCAGGAACCCGACGATCCACGGACAGAGCGGGGACGCCAACCGGCCGTCCCGCCTTTCCTCTCTCTGTCCACCCCTCCTCCTTTCCTCTGTTGTTTCGTCGCTAGTCGTTTCCTCTCTGAGTTTCTGCTGTTCGGTCGCAGAGCGGCGAAGCAGCCGACGCTCGCCGTCAGCGTTCTGCTAACGAGTGGATGGATTTATGGACGTGAGGGAGGGACTACCGCAGCAGGAAGTGGGTGAAGCAGGAACTATGGCGGACACAGACTGGAAGCAGAGAGATTTCCTCTCTGGGACTATTTTTTTTTTCCGATCACCCCGTCACCTCTCCACCCACATGTCTCCCATCACACACAAACACTCACAGAGACGGACTCACCGCTGTCGTCGACCGCATCATCTCTCCTCATCCTCAGCTCCGTTTTCTCACCCGTTTCTTTTTTACTTGAAGGTTTTAGAGAAAACGGCGGCTTCTGTTTATGTTCCTCATCTCTCCCGGTTTTGTTCGTATCTGTTTTTGCTTTTATACTCCGGCATAGTTGGAGTGCAGATAGTTTGGTTTTTTACCCCCCCCCTGCCGATTGTCTGGCGTGTCATCGGACGTCACGCGTTGCAGCGACTCAGTTCAAACCGGAGGAGGTGGACCCTGCAGAGAGGAGGACTTTTTTTGTATCTTACATAGCGCAGCACTTTTAACACTCCTTACTTTAGCTCCTCCACGCAGAGAAAGAGACGCGGCGACGTCCGCAGACGGGACTCCAGTTCGCCTTACTGCTGTAAGACCTGGTGGAGGTTAGGGTAGCCGGCTGAAACGGTTCTAGGTACTGTAACTAAGGGTACCCGAAGGGCCCAAAATTCAGCCTGACCGGTGCTCTCCTGTTCTGTTTTCTGTAAAGCACACGGGCATCAGTTAAACCTTCATTAGCGTTTCCTTCTCGTGAGTCTTTGCTTCTCTTTTGTTCACTTCAAATAGATGTACATTAAAAAAAAAGGACATTAAATGATGAAAAAACTACAAAAATAAGAGGATAAAATTTATTTATGATAGACACAGAGCACAGGTGTTGTCAGGCGGCGTGGAGAAGAAGAAGAAGAAGAAACTAACTTTAATATATAAGGGGTATAAGTGCACATTATGCAATCTAGGTTTTGATGATTTGATATCTGTGAAGCCGCTCGGCCCGGAAGGAAAGTTCTGGATCCGGCTCCAGTTATCCCCAAAATAACGTGCAGAGTAGCTGTTTCTCCCAAAGGAATAAAAGTTCCCACAATCACCCAGTGTGCCCGATCTCTCTCCATACACACCCTCCACCTTCACCATGCATGTGTGTTTGGTCATGTGAGCGTCAGTGACTCCAGGCTTAGATCCTCTACGGCCTCCCCCCCCCCGAGCATCAGTCAGCCCATCGCTTCCATCCTCATCCATCCATGAGCATCGAATTTCACCGAAAAAGCCAAGCCTTGTTATTAACTGAGGTTTGTGCCTCTGAGAGGCTACAAAATCTGCAAATATGCAATTCTTATTTATTTTTTTAATCAATTCTAAGAAGAAAAAAAGTGTTCTTAACAACCGAGAGATGTAACAACAAACCAACATGACAAAAAACTAGCAAGAGTACGTCACACCAGTCTGTTTTCTCTTCTGTTTTGTTCTTTTTCTTCTGTTTTTCGACAACGTGCCGTAGTACAAACTGTGAAGATATATTAAATAAAAAAAGCATCAGTAAGAGAACCGGACCGATGTTTAAAGGTGTGGGAGGGGAAAAAAAAGACAAACACAAACAGAAAAAAATGGCTTTTAGTTGCTTTCTGTCTGCGGCAGAATCTGACAATCTCCTTAGTTTCTTTGAATCTGGCGTCCTTTTCTCAGCGCCCGAATGGCCGCCGCCCGCCGGCCTGAGCCCCCCGCCGTTCAAACGGCGGCGGGCGGCTGGAGAGAAGCACCTCAGGCGACTGTAAAATGCCTTGCTCGTATGGTCAGCCCTTGGTCACTCGACTCAGTAAATTTGCACCGTACTTCTGTAGGTAAGAACCTGTAAATACATTAATGTTTGTATTGTATATGGATCCTGGGTTGTTACAATAGCCTTATTCACCTTTGTAGGAAAGTAAATAAAAAAAGAAAAAGTGAATTACACTTCAGTAAAACAGAGCATACTACTTTTTTGGTAAATAGCTTATGTAAATAGTGACCAGAACCCGATTAAAAAAAGCAAACATTTTTTTATAAACTCTTAAAGTAAGATGTTTTGTATAAAATTTGAATTTTTTGCTATGTATTTTAGCTAGCGCTCTATGGAAAGCCCGTGTCCTCCCCACTTCCTCCCGTTTTGCACTGTTTCCATGGTAATTTGGTTTAAAAAAAAAAAAGAAAAGTTGCCAAACCGACTGCTGCATATTTGTGCCATAAGTGTGTACCATAAATATTTATTAAATTAGTTTGTTTTTGTTTGTTTTTTCTCTCTCTCTCTCTCTCTCTTATGTTCCGTTGACGGTTTAATTTCAGTCCAGTTTGTAAGTAACAGTATTATATTAGCATCGTTTGTCGTCCGCCCCGGTTGTATTTTGTCATGTCACCATTACGGCTGCCTCGTTCCTCGCAGTGTCAGAAGGCCCAGGTTGTTGAAGAAAATAAAAACCTTTTCAAATTCAAGAATTTTAAATTAATTTCAAAGAGGATAAATGACACACATTCCACCAGTCTGTTACAAACTGAAAATGTTTTACAATAAAATGTTTTTTCCTATGGACATGCTGTCTGGGAGTGATTTATGTCTCATCAGCTTTCTATTCACTGTTTAAACTGCTGAGTGTAATTTATCGTTTTACACCTTATTATGCCTTAATACGGTGCAGCTGCCGGTGTTCTCTCAGATAAGCATACCCATAGTCCATACCCGTTTATCCATTTAGTTTTGTACGAAAAATAGTCTTTTAGCTACCTCAAAAGACGTGTATCCCTTTTAGTCAATGTACAAAAAAACCTATTTAATTACGTACTTTTTGGTGTTATTTGAACTGTTCGATGCGAAATGCGATCTCACCATAATTTTATTTTTTTTGTACACAACTAAAGGGATAGACGCATGCAGAGGTAGTTTAAAGTCTATTTTTCGTACAAAACTAAAAAGATAAACGCAAAGTTGATGTTTTGCGCATGATTATTTACTGTAGCTATGCTGGTCTGACGCGGTATATCCATCTGATAGAACACGGGGTCCAGTTTTAAGACTGATAGGAAAGTTTGATTTTGCAAAATACAGTTAATTTATTTTAACTTTTTTACTAAATGCTGTGGTTTTAGGCATTATAACGTGTACAGGTTATTTATTATTCACTAAAATCTATTACTCTATTGATATTAGGGGTGTTCCAATACAATTTTTTTATTTCCAATACGATACTGATATTGCAGCTTTGAGAATTGACCAATACTGATATTGACCCGATATGATATCATACATACTTTCACGACTTATTTTGAACTGTATAGAAAAAGGCTTGATCAAGTTACATGACTAATACAACAAAAGTTATGAAAAAATGGACCCATGTAATATTAACCAATGGGTTACAAACAGTGTCATTTTTCAGCCCAAATACCGATACCTGGCTTTGCAGTATCGGCCTATAACGATCCCATCTGTTTGAAATGGATGTGTGTGTATATATGAAGAACTGCATACTACTTGGATGTAAAATAATTGCCATCATGGCTTTATCAAGCTGCTGTCTACCTTCGTGAGGCAGGAAAAAGACTAAAACAAAGTGAATCCAGTAGAACTTTTTATTGCCTACCTGGAATGGGTGACAATAGTTGAATAAACATTTGGCTCTTAAAATGGTATCGGCCCTATTTGTTGGTACTCGCTGATACCGATACCATCATTTTAGTGCTGGATCCGGGTCCCGTCTGATACTGGTATCAGATACTGGTTTGCAACACTACAGAAGCAGAGTCAGTATAACGTCAGAGATTTTTGATGCCGGTTAATATAGTCAGTTATCGGACCGATACCGGACATTAATATTGGATCAGGACATCCCTAATTATCATAACTTAATCAATGCCTTATTCAGCTACATTCAACCCAAATCTGGCAACAGCAGTTCAGTTTTCCACATCTTAAATCATTTTCCTTTATATTGCCCATCACTGCCTGATAATAGGGTAGTCAAGGTACTAAGTTTTTAAACTCAATATCAATACCCAAAAGATAAAACGTTTTCAATCATAGAAAATAGATTTTGAATGTAAATAAAATATCTGAGACTCAAAAAATTGCATTTGAACACTTTTTTATTGTTGAAAATGTTCTCTTTGGTTGAAGGGATCTATTTTTGTGTTTGGGCCATACATGGGTAGGACATTTGTGTCTTAATCATTCAATTCCCAAAAAGTTTCAATCAAAAAAAAAAATAAATAAATAAAACAATCAAAGAAAAAAACTGTGCAAATGCAAAAAAAGAAAAAAAATGAATATTTTTTTAAATGAAAAAAAAAGTTGAAGTTCAAATTGTTTTATTTGAATCAAATTTTGTTTTTAAAGTGCAAAAAGGCTTGTTCCGTGTCATTAGGATGGCAAAAATATGCAAACACTTGTCTTTGGTATCAATTCCATGCCAAATTAATATAGTATCCCTATATAGTGTTTGATGTTTGAAACATTACAAAGTATTGATATTTTTAGATATTTTAGTTTGAAACTTTAACCTAATTAATATGATTTGACCTATTTATGCCAGGAAAAAGTTTATTTGACATTCTGTGGAGTCTCACTCGTAAGGTGCAGCATTAGCTCTTTGTTAGTGTTTGGTACAGAATAAAAAAAAATAATAAATTGTTTTAGCTCCATTATTCACTTAATTTCTATGGCTTCTCAGATCTATGCTTCATGCTGTCACGGTTGCTGGGATGCAGCTCCTGATTTTTTTTTTTTCCATGTCTGAAGACCAGCAGCGTTAGCTAACGGTTGTTGTCTGAAACAAGCTAGGCTAGGTCTGCTAATTCACCAGACGCTTTATTACCTGGGCAGTTTTATTTTCTGACTGATTTAATAAGGACAAATAACAGAAAATTACTGAAGCTGTATTTGATTTTAAGTTAGGATAGTTGAGGAACTTTAGACTCAAGTTTAAACTCTGACCAAAGGAATGATTGTATTGATTTATTTTCTGATATTGCACCAAATAACTAAATTATATACAAACGGACCATAAATCTAGCTGTTATTATGCCAATAATGGGGGATGTTTCTATTTCTTAATGGATCCAAACCTCTTTTGGAAAAAAAACTGTCAGTGACCAACATCCATGAGAAACATTTCACCATGTTTTAAATTCATATTTTAAAGTCTGATTACCAGAGTTATGAACTGGGATCTTCTCTTTATGGCATTTCCAATTAAAAGTAAAGATAAAGAGTGATGGAAATCTGAAAGATGAAAACAGAAGGTAATAAACAGATGAACACATTAATGCTGTGATGAAACACCCGCATGGGTGTCTTTGGTAAACTCGTGCCTTGGAGATCTCTAAGGCTACATTCACACTGCAGGCCTTGATGCTCAATTCCGATTTTTTGGCGTTGTCGTTCACATTTCCAAATATATGCGACTTATATGTGATCTCCTGTGTGAACTGCATTCATAAAACGTAAGCGTTCCGCATGCACAGCAGAGGACGTAATGATGTCACAAGCAGCGTGCTCTGTGTTTACCGAAGTAAAGATGGATGGTAATGCCAGAGCACATCTAGTGATCATACCCAACCTTAATAACACAATCTTTTTATGATGGTTAAACATAAATACAGTGTTGTATAGTAACAAAGTAAAAATACTTCACTACTGTACTTAAATATATTTTGGAGTACTTTATACTTTCCAAGAGTATAAATTTTTTTGAGAACTTTCACTTTTACTTCACTACATTTACGAACTTAATAGCAAACTTTTCAATGTTTGGTTTAGTTACTAAGTAAAAAAATAAATAAAACGAGCGAGAGAAACGCAAGTGTTTTGACCCCACCTACTGACTACAAAGTCGGGTCTTGCCTGGGCTTGTTCATCAACACCAATAGGATACGCCTGTTTCGCAAAGCCAGTCTAAATGTATCCTACACTTTGGTTGTTTATATTATTTGAAGTGAATTTAACCTTCAAAGTTTACCAAAATGTAAAAAAAATGTCATTCAAACTGCACTACTTTTTACTTATACTTTTTCAGATACTTTAAGACTTTTACTCAAGTATTTTTTCAGTCAGAGACTTGGACTTTTAGCAAAGTCATATTTTGGAGAGGTATACTTTTACTTGACTCAGAGATTTCAGTACTTTATACAACACTGCATAAATACTACTCTCCGCATTATTGTCCGCCATGGTTGTTGACCTTTGTCTGGTATTAATGCCGTTCAGGTCGGATGATTGCGACTTGGCCGTTCAGACATAGGTCGCATTAGAAAAAAAACAGATATGTATCGGATTCAGGACCAAGTAGCCAAGGGGCCTGGGTCGCTTTGGAATAAAATCAGATCTGAGTTGTTCAAACTGTCATAAAAAGATCAGATCCAGGTCACATATGGGCCAAAAATCGGATGTGGGTCTCTTCCGGCTGCAGTGTGAACGTAGAATAACTCTACAAGCAGTAGAGGACAAAAACAGTGTAGATGTGTTTGAATGTCCTATTAAATAATCCAAAGCCAGGCCATATCAGTGTCTCTTTATATTGTAACAACAACATTAATGGCTAATAGAGAGCAGCAGTGTTTACAGAGAAGTTGGATCTGCTGTCTCTATATTAGCACACTCCCTGATGTAATATGGACAGGCTGATTACAGGATCATGTTCCCTATCAGTGCTTAGGGCCAAATTAGCCTTAAGCCAGTGAGTCACT